TCATTTGTCAACTTAAAATTACTTAAAGGTAAAATAAAAATTGAAAACAAATATGTATAGATATAATAGTATATATAATTCTTAAACAACACTGGATCTGCACGGAAGTGCCAAGAGAACCAGGATGAAGATTTTTAGTGATTGATTTAAATTTGTCAGACAAAGCTCTTCTGTGGTTTCATAAAGTAGGGAACATGTTATTTTTATGGTGATTTCTGTCATTTTTGACAGCCCCAGTCCTCATTTACCTATTCAAAATCCAATATATTCTTTAAAAAGTTCACCTTTCTGTTCCACAGAAGAAAGATGTGTATGAGTTAGGAACAACATGAGAGTGAGTAAACGATGTCAGAATTTTTATTTGTGTATGACTAATCATTTTAACATCCACAGTCTGTGTTAAAACTGAACCTCACACTACATGTCCGGGTGTTTGTAGAATCGGGTAATGTATCGTACTGGGAGGAGAACCAAGAACCCATTAGCCAAATTTCACACTATGAATCTTGCATGTCACTTTGGTCCTCTGTTAAATCGTCACCTAGTAAGATACTCTATTTGCTGCACACTACAAGCTCTTCCACCTGCTTCAGGCTGGCAGTCTTTATAAACTGACGGCCATCCAAAAAGAACAGAATCAGGGCTTTAGCAAAGCAGGCTACTTCTTATTAGCTTAGCACTTTGTTTGTTGGCTGAACTAAGCACAGTTAGGATACACTGATGATGTGAAACACCTCAGTCCAGCCTTGGCCATAAGTAGAAAAATGCTGAACGCATGGGTAATAGCACTGGCCTACAGGTTTTCTGGGTGAAGCAATAGATAGGATAACATTACTGAATAACACAAGCTAAATGAGCCTAGAGGTGATTTGTTGAATGTTCACCTCTAAGGGTCTATGGCAATATAGATCTCAGTTTTATATTACGGGGCTTGATTTGCATTTTAATGGTCTGTATCAGGGTTGCAGTCGGCCTCCAGCTACTCTGTTATGGGCTAAGAATCTAATAAAATATGCAAAATGGTACACATCATAAAGCACGGCGCACATCACAGACGGACCGAACGTCATTGGATCGTACGTCATTATTTACATTGAATATTTACAATAGCAGAGGAAAAAGGATTAATTTTATTCAGAGTTTAAGCTGAACAAAGACAAGATCTCTGTGTTTTTTGTGAAGTGAATCCTGTGAAAATACTATTCAGTTATGCATCAGTACAATGTCTCAATGACATTGTTAAGATAATTATTCAGTCATTGCTAATCCGGGAAAACCATGTGAGACTTGACTGAAGCTATAGTCTGACACCTGAGGCTTGGGGAAAAACGAATCTTTTCCTCTCTGTATTAGATAACACTTCTCCCTGTGAACTAATATCCAAACCTATGCGCCATGCAGTATAATACATACATTTTTTACACAGTATTTATGTGCACAGACACACAGGACAATCCCGCAGCCAATAAGCAAGGGCCCCCTCACAGCCCTATGAGCCAATTATGTTATGGTTAAATGAGCCTATCTATAGTAGAATGATTTTACTCTGCAGAAGCTGCATGAAAATGAAAAATACCATGTGTTTTAATGCTGCACAGAGGTGCATTAAAATGCTACCTATATAAAGACATAAATTCTAGAAAGATGAAGAGAAAATATTTTAGTACATAATTAGAAAAATACAGACAAAAATATTCAAGAAAAGTCCAAAATAACAACCGTTAAGCATGAAATCATCACTTTTGGGTGGAGCTACACCATATGTTTTTTTTTTTTTTTGGGTGGGCTGAAATCATCTCAGGTTACGACTGTAACCTACAGGTCCTTCTAAAAAAATTAGCATATTGTGATAAAGTTCATTATTTTCCATAATGTAATGATAAAAATTAAACTTTCATATATTTTAGAGTCATTGCACACCAACTGAAATATTTCAGGTCTTTTTTTGTTTTAATACTGATGATTTTTGCATACAGCTCATGAAAACCCAAAATTCCTGTCTCAAAAAATTAGCATATTTCATCCGACCAATAAAAGAAGTGTTTTTAATACAAAAAAAAAGTCAACCTTCAAATAAATATGTTCAGTTATGCACTCAATAGTCAATACTTGGTCGGGAATCCTTTTGCAGAAATGACTGCTTCAATGCGGCGTGGCATGGAGGCAATCAGCCTGTGGCACTGCTGAGGTGTTATGGAGGCCCAGGATGCTTCGATAGCGGCCTTAAGCTCATCCAGAGTGTTGGGTCTTGCGTCTCTCAACTTTCTCTTCACAATTTCCCACAGATTCTCTATGGGGTTCAGGTCAGGAGAGTTGGCAGGCTAATTGAGCACAGTAATACCATGGTCAGTAAACCATTTACCAGTGGTTTTGGCACTGTGAGCAGGTGCCAGGTCATGCTGAAAAATGAAATCTTCATCTCCATAAAGCTTTTCAGCAGATGGAAGCATGAAGTGCTCCAAAATCTCCTGATAGCTAGCTGCATTGACCATGCCCTTGATAAAACACAGTGCACCAACACCAGCAGCTGACATGGCACCCCAGACCATCACTGACTGTGGGTACTTGACACTGGACTTCAGGCATTTTGGCATTTCCTTCTCCCCAGTCTTCCTCCAGACTCTGGCACCTTGATTTCCAAATGACATGCAAAACTGAGCAACAGTCCAGTGCTGCTTCTCTGTAGCCCAGGTCAGGCGCTTCTGCTGCTGTTTCTGGTTCAAAAGTGGCTTGACCTGGGGAATGCGGCACCTGTAGCCCATTTCCTGCACACGCCTGTGCACGGTGGCTCTGGATGTTTCTACTCCAGACTCAGTCCACTGCTTCCGCAGGTCCCCCAAGGTCTGGAATCGGTCCTTCTCCACAATCTTCCTCAGGGTCCGGTCACCTCTTCTCGTTGTGCAGCGTTTTTTGCCACACTTTTTCCTTCCCACAGACTTCCCACTGAGGTGCCTTGATACAGCACTCTGGGAACAGCCTATTTGTTCAGAAATTTCTTTCTGTGTCTTACCCTCTTGCTTGAGGGTGTCAATGATGGCCTTCTGGACAGCAGTCATGTCTGCATTCTTACCCATGATTGCGGTTTTGAGTAATGAAACAGGCTGGAAGTTTTTAAAAGCCTCAGGAATCGTTTGCAGTTGTTTAGAGTTAATTAGTTGATTCAGATGATTAGGTTAATAGCTCGTTTAGAGAACCTTTTCATAATATGCTAATTTTTTGAGATATGAATTTCGGGTTTTCATGAGCTGTATGCCAAAATCATCAGTATTAAAACAATAAAAGACCAGAAATATTTCAGTTGGTGTGCAATGAATCTAAAATATATGAAAGTTTAATTTGTATCATTACATTATGGAAAACAATGAACTTTATCACAATATGCTAATTTTTTGAGAAGGACCTGTATGTTCCCTGAGAACAGGGAACGAGACACTGCGTCGAATGACGCTTTGGGGAATGCCTCAGGTTTGACAGGTGTCTGAAATCACAATCAAATCACGTCAATCACATGGACCGGCAACAGCCAGTGAATCATTCATGTGAATGATTAACCCTCTGGGGACCAGCGTGTTTTTGGGGCCTTTGGGATGTTTTGACATGCACTGACATTTGTGCTTTTTTCAGTTATTTATAAACATGTTAATGGCAAAGGTGTAAATTCACTCTATATAGCACAAACGGGGCTACCATGATATGTGAGCAACATGTATGTACATGTTTGTATTTTTAAGAGAATAATGTTTATGCGTGGTTATTGAAAAAAAAAAAATTAAAGTTGCTGAAATAAGACCACAAAACACATACTAAATATGTGTCCACAAGACTTTTGACTAATGGATGTTGTCCCTAGTTCTGGCTTCAAAATGATGTGAAAATCATCCAGCCTAATTGTTCACATAAAGCGAAACATGAATTCATACTTTGTATGACAGTTTTTTTTCAGAAGAGGCTTATGCGAGGGGGTGGTAATGGCCTATCAATATTAATGAGATTCAGACCAGGGGTGTGACAGACACTCCCCCAATGGCTAATGGCCCATCAAGTGAGGCAGCCTGAACAAAGAATGAAAGGAGATTCAAAGGTTTTTCAATCTGTTTTATTGTAATTCCTCTATGTGGAGAAACTAAATGTTCTAAATTTGCTCTAAGCAAATCAAATGTGAGTAAAATAAATAAATAATCAGTCGGCTATAAACAAAGCAATTGTGAAGTCATACAGGCTCATATTGTATTAACACTAAGTATAAACAAAATTGAACTAACATCTGTAAAATTGTAGGTAAATATGTACTTACTCTTTCTGATTTCTGACTGTGTTGCTAAGCGCACTCCGAGTTGCAGGCGGAGGAAGTGATGAAGCTACATTCCTTTTTTTTTCTTTTTTTTTTTTTAAGTTGAGGACTATTATTACATAAATATAACCATAGCAGCATTAGTCTATAATGAATAACTGATGTAAATAATTTTAGGCGAGTGCAATAAATATGCGTGTCAATGGGCCATTGCCGGAGAGGCACACCGCAAACAAAACACATTTGCGCAATTCATTAACTGGGTATATTTACACATTTCAGCACATTTACACACATTTACAACTGATATTTGCGAGCCTGCATCGTCAATGATAATAATGAGGCAGCATTTAAACTAGTCAAAATATAATCTAAACATCTAGTAGGCCTATTTTCTAAAATAACTTCTACATTCTAGGTTTCATACACAATGATCTAAACATATCATTTACACATACAAATTTCCTAACTGGGGTTTACAGTGCGTAGCATATGCAGAAAAAAAAAAAAAAAAAAAAAAAACTTTTTCTCTTTAACACGAGATATTAAATTCATGGTATAGATATGCACTTTCATTAGATCGTGTTGAATATATCAAATGTCAATACTCTGGATGGCAAGTGGAAAATAGTCCACCCAGTATAATATGTAAGCTACATGTTTATATTGAATAGCTTGTCAACTAATGGAAGTAAGACTAAATACTTACTCATACGAAATTCTATCCACGGCTCGATCAAACGGTCGTCATCAGAGTCGCGCTCTTCTTCTGATGAAAATGTGGATTCTTCGTCGCTAGTATCCAGGACGAGCTGAAGAGCTTCTACACCGGTGTATCGTGCCATCTTCCTAACGCGCAGGTGAACTGAATGATGAAACTTGAAGCCTTTAATGCATTTGCTTGGGGGCGTTTACCTGTTTTCCATAGATGGCTTAACACATTATCTTGTGAATAGCGCGCTCTGGGAGTAGGCGTGAACGAATTAAAGTGAATGAGCTCGTAATGAGCTCGACTGGAATCGCTCTATTTTCATACAGATTACAGAAGCTGAGAATATTTGTTTTTAATATAAATGACTTCATTTAAAAGATGCGATCTCTAGCTTTATGCCCGTGGGTATATTTGCCTGTTTGACTGAATTTTCGTGGAGTTACAGATCATTTCCAAACGCGTTTCAAATTGGAGTTCGCTGACAGAGAGAGTGAAGAACTCGCATCATGTTCATTTTTCTTCATTTGGCAAAAAGCAAAACACTTTATTTTTATTGTGAGTATAAAGAAAAAAAATAGAACCTGAACAGGATCGATTGATGTATAACACGAACATGAAAGATCAAAATTAACAGAGCAGTTTGAGTTTATTTTGCATTGCTAAAAAAAAAACGAGCAAAACGCGCGGGCGCGTTTCTGGTCCCCAGAGGGTTAACATGCGACCTGGAAGTATAAAAGGGCGCCTTGCAAACATGACAATATCCTTTCGTCTAAAGGAACAGTTCAGTAGGCAGGCCCCGAGGCATGGCAAGGAGACGCAGTGTCTCGTTCCCTGTTCTCAGGGAACATAGGTTACAGTCGCAACCTGAGACGTTCCCTTTCGAAAGGGAACTCGCACTGCGTCGAATGACGCTTTGGGGAATAATATACCCAAGCCGCCATGCTAAGGAATCAGCAAATTCAAATGAAATGCTAGAACCACTCACCCTCAGGTCACACTGGGCTGTCAGTGACAGCATTCCCTACGGTCATAGCCCAAGCTATAAGCCTCACAGGAAAACCTCAATAAACATGGTTAAATGAAAGGCCTACCTGGGCCTGCTCAAAGGCCAAGGACCACAACTTCAATTAGAAGGGGTCCCTTCTAGGGAATGTGGCTAGGGAACCCGAAGGACCCCCAGCCAATCACTATTCAGGGGAACGTACTCACCCCGAAATGCCACCAGGACGGCCTGACCTGGCGTCAGTTACATAGACACGTAGTCTGGCCACTTCCTGTCTGTCCGAAGACAGAGCCTCTGGACACTTGCCTTTAGGTAAGGCATCCAACCCGAGGGACTGCGAAGCTGGCAGTGAACCACTCGGCCCGGATCTCAGAGACGGGATATCCCGGAGAGTATGACTCAGCAAGTGCTTTCCAACCCTTGCCAGCAATGGGTGTTTCTCTATTCGATCTATGGATCTACCCAGTGTTTGTGTTTCAAAACACTGAGGAGGCCTGTGAAGGCCTAAGGGCTGATCTAACTGGGAGGACTCACGAGAGGCCTACGACCGTCTGACCAGACTCAGGAGTCCGTGTGCTCATAGTGACCCTCGGTGAGGGGAGCACATGGTCCGCCTGGTAGGCAAACCAGGCTGTAGGCAGGAAAGAGGTTCCAGGAGGGAACCAGTAGCAGAGAATGAACACTTTAGTCGAGCCAGGGCGCAAGCTCGCCTTCAGCAGCTGCCTGATAAGGCCAGCTGAAATGATAGCAAGAGGCCACTAGCTTCCTGAACCCAGCATCACTAGGAAACCACTCACAGGGAGGCATGGAGAGGCCTACTACCTGATAGCCACAGTATGTGAGGAACTCACCCTCAGGGAGGCCTGGTGAGGCCTACTACCTGACAGTTCCCATTCAGGGAGGCCTGGAGGGGCCTACTACCTGACAACCACAGTATGTGGGGAACTCACCTTCAGGGAGGCCTAGTGAGGTATACTACCTGATAACCACAGTACGTGGGAGCTCACCTTCAGGGAGGCCTGGTGAGGCCTACTACCTGACAGTTTCCATTCAGGGAGGCCTGGTGGGGCCTACTACCTGATAATCACAGCATGATTATAGCCAATCATAGACATCTTAGCACATGTACGCAATTTCACTCGGTGGCCATCTTTGGCCACTTCTGGGTGAACGCTGGCGCTATTAGCTGCCGCTGCTCAGGGAGGGAATTTGAAAACTTTTAGTACTTTTAATGCTTCCTGCACTTATAAATGCATGGATCCATCTATGAACTGTTTTAAACCATTTTAAGGAGCCACTCTGACCTGTGTATCCACGCTGATTCGGCGGGCTTTTAAGCTGGTTTTGATCTACGTGTTGATCCTCTCTGCGGTTGCCGGTTTGCCTGCCGGTTACTGACTGTTCTTCGTGGTACCTCTGGCACTTGGATCAACTATGAAGATCACTGAGCTACTGGTGGGGATGAACTACATCTGGGTCGTCCTTTCCATTCTGTGGCATGGACGATGCTACAGTATTCGGCGGCGGAACTTACTCAGCTCCGTTTGCGTCCTTGTAATCTTCCGTCAGCTCCACATCTTCCCTTGGATATTGTGTACATACCACGTCGGAAATATATACATCGCGGGTCTCGGCGGAGTTACAACATTGATGGCTCATGTCAAATACGGTCCTTCTGGTCATCTAAACCACGCCCACTGAGGAGGCTCACACGGACTGTGTATTAACCAACAGTGTATTAACCAACCTGGCCAGATCGGTTGGCAACGATTCTGGTCAAAACAAAATTTCTTTTGTATTATTTAATATACGATCTCTCTCCAATAAAGGACCTCTGGTGTACGATCAACTGTCTGACCGCGAGTTTGACTTTCTCTGTCTAACTGAGACATGGCAGAAACCAGATTACTTTTTTCACCTAAACCAGTCTGTTCCCCCAGGATATAGTTATGTTTGTAAATCCCTTGATACTGGACGGGGAGGGGGGCTAGCAATACTTTATAAAGAGCAGTGATGGGAATAACGGCGTTATAAATAAACGGCGTTACTAACGGCGTTATCTTTTTCAGTAACGAGTAATCAAACGAATTACTGTTTCCCCCGTTACAACGCAGTTACCGTTACTGACAAAAAAAAATGTGGCGTTACTATAATTGAACTCACTGAAGCGGTTTTCATCCGAGTAGGCTCTCTCTCCGCCATAGGACCTGCAAAGTTTTTTTCTCTGGTGTGTGTGTGTGTGTGTGTGTGTGTGTGTGTTATGAGGCGCCGGAGTGGACAAAAGCGAAGCGAACGGCGCGAGCGCGCTCAATGCGCGAGAGAGACCGAATGTGTCCGAGAGCGCGCTCAACAGTTGCGCAAGAGAGACTGAGGGTGTCCGAGCATTATATAGTTTGTTTATAAATAAATGACACATATCTGCAACGTTAATTAATTTACATGGTTATACAAATAAAATCTAAAAAATTACCGTCAGGGAACGTTCTGTTTAGGTTATAAAATAAACCCGAAAATAACCTGCAGGTAACATTCACAGAAAACATCTTTGTTTGACCGGTTGTAAACACGTGCGGCAAACATGTCTAGAATTTGGCTTAAATAACCTCTGATGATGACGTTCGCTAGGTTATAAAAATAAACCCCCAAAATATTATATTTTAGTATTATTATTTTTTTTGTGGTAATTGTTCAGTATTATATTGAGAGAGCACTTGTTAAACTGTTTACTTTTGTTAGGAAGAAAATACTTAGGCTACAGTAGCCTATGTCTACTAGTTGTGAAGTTGTGTAACAGTTTTATCATTTTAATATGCACAAAGAATATGTATATTTTTTATTATTATTTATTTATTTTTGGTACATTTCTTAAGAAGCATAATTTATTTTTAAACTTATTTGTTGGCCAGTTGGGGTCTGTGCGATATTAAGTATAAACCATCTATAATGTTTTATTGTTCTACCATAGTAATGCTAATATTTAGAATAATATATTGAATTTAATAGGCGTCTCTCACATTGTCCCACAGCAACATTAAAATAGAATCAATTATTATTATAAAACATTGAACACTAATCTACACTATTAAGTGTCCATTTCATTAATTTAACATATTTAATACTGGGGGCATCCAAATTATTTGACATAGGCCTTTTTGAATTTTTTTTTTTTAAAGTAACGCAATAGTTACTTTCTCTGGTAATTAGTTACTTTTATAATGATGTAACTCAGTTACTAACTCAGTTACTATTTGTGAGAAGTAACTAGTAACTATAACTAATTACTTTTTTTAAGTAACATGCTCAACACTGATAAAGAGAAATTAAAAGTGTCTCAGTTAACTTTGTCTACATATTCTTCTTTTGAAATAATTGCCTTAAAAATCAATGGTGCAATTCCTACCATCCTCACAACTATTTACCGTCCTCCCAAGAGCAATAATGCCTTTTTAACTGAACTATCTGAACTTTTGACTTATCTATCTTCCATGTCTCCAAATATAATCATTCTGGGTGATTTTAACATTCATATAGACAATATCAGTAATGCATTTACAGTACATGTGAATTTTTATCATGTTTGGAGTGCATTGGTATGCAACAATTTAACACACTGCCCATGTCACAGGCTGAACCAGTCCTTTCTTTTCTTTGTTGCCTAATTAGAGACATTGGGGCCTTACTGTGTGATGGTGTTTACTGTGTGTGTGAACGTATTTGCACTCTGAATTGTAGTGGGTATTCACTGTACGTATGCTTCATATTTGTAGTGGGTTTTGTTGTTGCTATTACTTCTGCCCTAATTTACTATTTTTAGACATCTGCTTATGGACAAACCTGGCAACCCACTTCCTGTTTTATTACTATGCCCATATTTGGACTACTTCCTCTCCTGCCAATGTGACTTAATTGGTTTATTTGGTACTCATTATCATGTTCCTCCTCTGCTTATATTTGGACGATACTTCTTGTCACTGATTGAGGAGACGAGAACAGATTATTGCCTATGCCTTGCTGCTGATGATTGCAATTTGCAACTAATGGTCTAGCAACCAGCCATGTCCTGGTTGAAGGATATAAAAACTGGTTCTTTGGAAGAGAAAAGAGGTCCACGACTTGCCTGGCTGCTGTTG